TAAAGTGGCAGGAAAAACATATTCAAGAACTGAAATTAAGTTTATATTATTATTATTAGTGAATTATTTAAACCTGCAGAAATATCCTTCAATATTCAAGAATGTATTTGGCATTTGCAGTAAAACCACATTGGAAAAACTGTGCAAGACTCCCCCAGTGTAGACCAGTCTCACTCTGGATTCTGGTGGAAGGTATTTTGGACCATTCTTCTTTGCAGATCTACAGTTCAGTCAGTTTTGAAAGATTTTGAGCCTAGAGAGACCGTAATGAGTAAAACTTGTGTAGCGTTTTTTTGGACACTCAGACGCTTCACATGAAATAAAAATGAGTACAAAGTTTACGGAAAAGCTTGTAAATTAACCTCAAATGTTCTAAAATACCCAGGTCTGAGGCTGAGATGGTGCTTGTCCTTCTGCCTTTGTAGATTTTCATACCTCTGTTTATGTAAATGACATCCTCCCATATTTACATGTAAATCTAAGATGGTGTGGTGTAGCGGAGCAGGCAGAGACGTAACCCGGGCTCAAAACTAGCAATTTGTGTGATTTACGTCCAGGTTTGACTCTTTCTCACCTTTTAGTCATAAATCATTTTCTCTTCAGGCGCTGACAAAACGACTGCTGCGAGGAGTGGGTCAGAATTCACAGGTGCAAAGAATATAGCTCCGCTTGGCGTAAAAAAAAAAAAAAAAATTCACATTCACACAAAAACAGAAAAAGTGTTGGTTAAAGGCACAGTCAGAATGTGCTTAAATGAAGACATAAATGACCAAATCTGAGAAAATGTTGATATTTTTTGTAAAGCCACATTAAAAGTGTGTGAAAAAAAAGAAGGTAATTGGTCAAAATGACGTGAAAAGAAAAATAGTGCGAGATGGAAACATTTTGTGCTCGTTTTATTTCCTTTTAGAGTTGATGAGAATGACTTTTTTTTTTTTTCGACGGCCGCAGAGTTTTAGCTGCTAATGTGTCACGCTCAAAACGGTCGGGGAACACTAGTCGAAAAGCGCTGGTTCCACAGAGAAGACTGAATAAAAAGCTAACAAAGCTGTCTATTCTCCAGCACAGATCAGAGAATCAAACGGTTCAAAGACAAGAAATGCAGTGATAAAAAACACAGTCGTTGTTTGGTCCATAAAGTTCATAAATGTCATGTTTTCCTTTTAGTCTCCCAGAGACAGTTGATTCATATGGCACTAACCTGGCACTACAGTAGAAAATGACTAACTCTGGCATAAGATAAGAATTCCTTTATTCGTCCCACAGTGGGGAAATTTCGATGTTGCATCGCACATATAGGACAGTAGTAAGAGCACACAGGGATCACACACAATATATAAGTAAAGTGACATGAGGTAAAGTGACATTGTTCTGTGACATTCTGAAGTTGCAGTATTGCACATTGCACATGATTTAAGAATTTACTTAGTTACAGATGAATGAAATGTACAGGCTCAGCAGTTCTTATTGTACAGTCTGACAGCAGCAGGAAGGAAAGACCTACGGAACCTCTCCTTCACACAGTGAGGGTGAATTCGTCTGTCACTGAAGCTGCTCTCCAGAGCAGAGAGAGTGTCCTGCAGGGGGCGACAGTCATGGTCCAGCATAGATGTTAGTTTGTCCAGGACCCTCCTGTCCCCCACCTGCTGCACTGTGTCCAGGGAACAGCCCAGGACTGAGCTGGACTTTCTGATGTTCCAGCTTCTTCCTGTCCCTCTCTGTGATGCTGCTGTTCCAGCAGACCACACCGTACAAGATGGCTGATGCCACCACAGAGTCATAGAAGGTCTTCAGGAGTGGCCCCTGCACTCCAAAAGACCTGAGCCTCCTCAGCAGGTAGAGGCGACTCTGGCCCTTCTTGAAGAGGGCGTCTGTGTTATGAGTCCAGTCCAGTTTGTGGTTCAGATGAAAACCCAGGTACTTGTAAGAGTCCACTCTCTCGATGTCCTTTCCCTGGATGTTCACTGGGGCTGGAGCGGCAGAGTGACGTCTGCGGAAATCCACCACCATCTCCTTATTTACAAGTGGACTCTAAGGGCTCATGGTAATTAATATGCACTGTCCCATCTTAAATAAGTACATTAGAAAATAAATAATTAACCCTTTAATGTTCACTCCTTGAAGGAAGTAATGTACAAATGCCTTTTGTTGATAAAAGTGCCTTAAACCAAGTGATAGAGATGCCCCAATGAGGAAGAATTCAGCACCAAACTGACTCAAAAAGTGATCCACCAAATGGTTGAGGAAACCTTTAAAGGGATAAACATATACTTAGGTTCAAGGCCACGGAGAGACGCCTAAGTTTCTCCCGTAGATATTGTTATTTCCATCTGTGTTATTGACAATACCCTCTCCACGATGCTATGCTAACCTAACCTAGCCTTATCTCCTCTGGTCTAAAACGCTGGTCCCACAGAGATGCCTGAATGAGGGATAGCTTTGTCTGCTTCGTCGCTATCTGTGGCTATCTGCCCCTGTGCGCCGCATCAACTGTAATGAAACGAGTTCGGCAGCGGACCTGAGGCAGCGCATTCTAATCTCAGAAATCTCTGGTCTAACGAGAAGAGCGGCTTCATCAGCAAAACTGTGAACCCGCACGACGGCTTCAAACGGCGTCCTCTGACAGCGCTATCACACCTGGCTTTGATGCTCCGGATACAGCACCGTTTAGTATGAGCGCGGTGACTCCAGGGCTGCCTCGCTACGTCCTGCAGGCTGGAGGCGATAGGCAAGCTGTGTGATTTTACTTTTGTTTAGATTTGAAAGTCACGGCCGACAAGGAAGTGAAGAGAATGCATAGCCGTTAGCCGTTGTTTTGAACTAATAGTGTGTTCAAACAGTCTCTCCTATTGGCAAAACCACCAGTGAGAGAATTACCTTTACAGTAAGAAGGTCCGGGTTTGATTCCACCTCCAGGCCTTTCTGCATGTTCCCGTGTCTGCGTAGGTTTCCTCCAGGTGCTCCGGTTTCCCCTTACCACTGAAAATACATACTATAGGTCTGTTATGTGCCTCCTGTAGACCTGCTCCCATCGATGTGTGGACTGAGAGACAAATGCCCGCAGTGACTGTAAATCGCTTTGACTCTGGACTGTGAAAGGCGCTTTATAGATAAATATTACTTACTGCTACTAACATGTCTTTCCATGTTAAAATATTAGATACTAACAGTTTATTAAACTAGCTCGAGGTCTGTACAGAGAAATATCAGGCCGCAGCCTTTTTGTACAGACCGAGCCGTGGTGAGGTTAATACATGTTTTATTATATGACTATTTTTAATTTATGCAAATATCGATCTCCGACTTGGTTTTCCTAATTGTGTTTTTACCTTTCCGATCTGTAACGAAGTTGTCGATCTCTTCTTGACTGTTACCGTTATTTGCTGTTATTACTTCCTCTGGCTCTTCGAAGTCGTCGCTCATTCTTTCTTTACCGAGGAAAGATATCAAATGTGACCAATTGTCATGGTAACGGTCCGAGATGGGAAAATATCAGACCGCAAATCAACCAATCAGAGCGCGCTTACGATCCAAGTCATATAATAAAACTGACTCTCACTTAATTGATTTTTTTTGACACCCTAAATAACAGGAGGCCACACTTGCATGTGAAAGCCAGATCCTTTCAGACCTATGAAGCTAACCAGGGCAGGGCTTGGATAGTGCTGTGATGGGAGACCAACAACAGATCAGAGTCAAACAGTTCGAACACACATGGTCATAGGGAGCAGGGACATAAATGTTCTGGCTTGAGTGTAAAAAGAATTAAGCATTGAATTAGACTTTAGCTTAAAAAGGTAGTGGATAAATAAGTAATGGATAAAGTGGAAGTACATGGATGGATGGATAAATGTTCTCTTTTATCATATTTATAGACTTCACATGGTGTTTTTGAAGGTGAAACGGCAGATTGAATGTGGAGCGATGTAGGAAATCAAAACTCCAAATCTTCCACGTGATCTCTTTGCGAGTCCTTGGGGATGTACACATGGTCCTGACGGCTGGTTCAGACTGCAGTGATGTCAAACAGGAGTCGCTGAGTGTGAAAGCCGAGCCGTGATGGTCGGACGGCGGTGGGTTGAGGGTAATGTGAGTCGAGGGCAGGACACATGGACAGATTAGCTGAAACTGATACAAACTTGAAACTCTGGAGCCTTTATTAACTATGAAAAGTCAAAATCATCAAAGTGCATTAAACAGAAAATCCAACAAGAGCAAAAAGGTCTTTCTAATCTTCTCATGTCAATACGTTTTCCCATATTTTGACCATTAAAGTGATATTGGGTAATAACCAACATTTCAAGACACACTGGTTTAATTTACAGGCCTGGACTTCATCTGTGGACAATATGTGGAGAATATGGAAATAAGATATTGAAGTAGAATAGACTATAGACTGAAGACAAATGTCGTTGTGATTGGACCATGTGGTGTTTACTGTGTCTTCTACCACTGTCTCTGTTGTGTGACAAATGTATGAATGCACTTGCGCCCTCTGGTGGGACACGAGTGTATATTAAAGTACTCATTCACCTTGAACGCTCATATGTCATCGCTCATGTTACTCCTGGCGTTCCAGCAGGACTCATCCTTCCCTCCTCTCTTGCAGGGCCCTGGTGTGAGGACGGGTCTTCGTTGATCCAACCATGCTTCGCTTCGATAGACCTCCGCATCGCCCCTTCAGCCGCTGAACACCATGCCTGCCCCGCGTTACCCTCCGAGGGGCACGACCACCCCCATGCTGCCCTCTCTCTTCATATAACACCCAATGTCATGATATCTGCCCGGAAATGGCTTCACTGCTAATTCACTCGGACCCCTCAGAGACTAATGTGAGGTGAGACTTGCTCTTGCACCGTTGGAAGCGTGGCCCAGAGATTACTGCCACAGAGCCCGGATTTCTGCTTCAAGTAGCGTCCCTCCGCTGCTCCAGACAAGGTCGTATTATGGCTGCTGCTAACGCCCGCCCGAACCTGCCAGGGCGGGGAGCGGACTGAACCATGCTGCGTACGGGAGGAGGGGGCGGCTCCACGGGGGGCCAGCCATGGGTGCTGCGCCGCGTGCGTCTCACCTGGCTCAGCTTCATGCTCTTCTTCATCCTGGTTTTCTTCCCGCTCATCGCCCACTACTACCTCACCACCATCGACGAAAACGGGGGTCCCGACAAGCGCATCTTCGGCCCGCGGCCCGGAGGGGAGCTGTGCGAAGCCAAGCACGTGCAGGACCTGTGCCGGATCCGAGAGTCCGTCAGCGAAGAACTGCTGCAGCTGGAGGCCAAGAGGCAGGAGCTCAATGGAGAGATCGCACGGCTCAACCTGCGGATCGAGGCTTGTAAGAGGAGCATAGACAGCGCCAAGCAAGACCTACTTCAGCTCAAGAATGTCATCAGCCAGACGGAGCATTCATACAAAGAACTGATGGCTCAAAATCAACCCAAATTGTCTCTGCCGGTGAGACTGTTCCCTGATAAGGAAGATCCAGGGATGCCCCCACCCAAATCTTCCCGAAACTGTCGCTTGCACTCTTGCTTCGACTACGCTCGTTGCCCCATTACCTCCGGTTTTCCCGTTTATGTCTACGACCCAGCTTCATACCCTTGGGGAGACCTTATAGATCCTTTAGTCAAACAGGCCTTTTTGGCTGCAGCTAAAAGCAACATCTACACAACAGACAACCCCAGCATCGCTTGTCTGTATCTGGTACTTTTAGGTGAACTTCAAGAGAATTCAAAGTTCCCTCCTCCGTCGGAGCTGGAGAAGCAGCTCAGAGCGTTGCCGTACTGGAGGAACGATGGCCACAACCATGTCTTGGTCCATTTCTCGCGAACGTCCAGCGTCCAAAACTTCTTGTACAACGTGAGCACGGGAAGGGCGGCAGTCGCGCAGTCCACCTTTCTGGAGCAGCAGTACCGGCAGGGTTTTGACCTGGTCGTGTCGCCGCTAGTTCACGCACTCTCTGAGCCAAACTTTCTAGAAATCCCCCCACAGGTGCCCGTCAAGAGGAAGTACCTGTTCACTTTCCAGGGGGAGAGGGTGGAGTCTCTGAGGACCAGTTTGCGAGAGACTCCACCTCAATATTTTGAAGAGGAGATCGAAGGAGACCCGCCGGCGGACTACGACGACCGCATCATCGGCACCTTGAAAGCGGTCCAAGATAGCCGCTTGGACCAGGTTTTGGTGGAGTTTACGTGTAAAAGTCCCCAACCGAGCTTGCCTACTGAGTGGTCTCTCTGCGGGACCAGGGAAGACCGCTTAGAGGTGCTTAAAGCTTCCACCTTCGCTTTGGTGATTGCGCCAGGAGACGGGCAGGTCATAGCTTCGGCCGGTTGCGGCATGAGATTATTTGAGGCTTTGGAAGTGGGTGCAATCCCGGTCGTTTTGGGAGACCATTTAAGACTTCCTTACCACCATCTAATCCGCTGGAGCGAAGCGACCATTATCGTTCCCAAACCGCGAGTCACGGAGCTGCATTTCCTGTTGCGCAGCTTATCCGACAACGACCTGCTGGCGATGCGGCGGCAAGGCAGGTTCTTGTGGGAAGCCTACTTTTCCACATCCGAAAACGTCTTAAATACGATTCTAGCGAGCATCAGAACTAGTATACAGATCCCAGCGGCTCCGATCAAAGAGGAGCCCGTGGTGGAGATTCCGCACAAGGCCGGGAAGATCGCCGGGACGGACGCCAACTTGGCCGACAACGCCGATCTGGATCTGGGGCCGGTGGAGACGGAGCCGCCGTACGCATCGCCACGGTTCCTTCGAAACTTCACCTACACTGCCTCCGACATCTACAGGTGAGATTGATCATTATTGTCATTTGTTGGATTGGTTTAAATATTCACTGTTTCTGAATTCACTTCATACAAATACATTCAATCTTAGTAAAAGTCAGTGTGAGATTAGATGGTTGTGAGAAACATGTCAAAGGTTAAAAATATGGTCTGTGCAGGATATGATTATGTACAATAGAAAGTGGCAACAGCAGTGTGTGTTTTTTTCAGTCCTTGTGCGTTAGTGACTTAAAGTAACTTTTTATATTGACTATTTTATACCGATGATAGAGATGTTATTATCATGACATGTTTCGGCGATATTTAGGGTGTCACGGGGAAGAAAGTGACAAAATGAGTGCCTTGGACTGAGTTTCTAATCTGTCATAATTAAAGGGCCCTAATCTGTCATAATTAAAGGGCCCTAATCTGTCATCATTAAAGGACCCTAATCTGTCATCATTGAAGGGCCATAATCTGTCATCATTGAAGGGCCCTAATCTGTCATCATTAAAGGACCCTAATCTGTCATCATTAAAGGGCTCTAATCTGTCATCATTAAAGGGCTCTAATCTGTCATCATTAAAGGGCTCTAATCTGTCATCATTAAAGGACCCTAATCTGTCATCATTGAAGGGCCCTAATCTGTCATCATCATTAGAGGGCCCTAATCTGTCATCATTAAAGGACCCTAATCTGTCATCATTAAAGGGCTCTAATCTGTCATCATTAAAGGGCTCTAATCTGTCATCATTAAAGGGCTCTAATCTGTCATCATTAAAGGGCTCTAATCTGTCATCATTAAAGGACCCTAATCTGTCATCATTAAAGGGCCCTAATCTGTCATCATTAAATGGCCATAATCTGTCATTAAAGGGCCCTAATCTGTCATCATTAAAGGGCCCTAACCTAATCTGTCATCATTAAAGGGCCCTAATCCGTCATCATTAAAGGGCTCTAATCTATCATCATTAAAGGGCCCTCATCTATCATCATTAAAGGGCCCTCATCTGTCATCATTAAAGGGCCCTAATCTGTCATCATTAAAGGGCGCTAATCTGTCATCATTAAAGGACCCTAATCTGTCATCATTGAAGGGCCCTAATCTGTCTTCATCATTAGAGGGCCCTAATCTGTCATCATTAAAGGACCCTAATCTGTCATAATTAAAGGGCCCTAATCTGTCATAATTAAAGGACCCTAATCTGTCATCATTAAATGGCCATAATCTGTCATTAAAGGGCCCTAATCTGTCATCATTAAAGGGCCCTAACCTAATCTGTCATCATTAAAGGGCGCTAATCTGTCATCATTAAAGGACCCTAATCTGTCATCATTGAAGGGCCCTAATCTGTCTTCATCATTAGAGGGCCCTAATCTGTCATCATTAAAGGGCTCTAATCTGTCATCATTAAAGGGCCCTAATCTGTCATCATTAAAGGGCCCTAATCTGTCATCATTAAATGGCCATAATCTGTCATTAAAGGGCCCTAATCTGTCATCATTAAAGGGCCCTAACCTAATCTGTCATCATTAAAGGGCCCTAATCTGTCATCATTAAAGGGCCCTAATCTGTCATCATTAAAGGGCCCTAATCTGTCATCATTAAAGGGCCCTCATCTGTCATCATTAAAGGGCCCTCATCTGTCATCATTAAAGGGCCCTCATCTGTCATCATTAAAGGGCTCTAATCTGTCATCATTAAAGGGCTCTAATCTGTCATCATTAAAGGGCCCTAATCTGTCATCATTAAAGGGCCCTAATCTGTCATCATTAAATGGCCATAATCTGTCATTAAAGGGCCCTAATCTGTCATCATTAAAGGGCCCTAACCTAATCTGTCATCATTAAAGGGCCCTAATCCGTCATCATTAAAGGGCTCTAATCTATCATCATTAAAGGGCCCTCATCTGTCATCATTAAAGGGCCCTAATCTGTCATCATTAAAGGGCCCTAATCTGTCATCATTAAAGGACCCTAATCTGTCATCATTGAAGGGCCCTAATCTGTCTTCATCATTAGAGGGCCCTAATCTGTCATCATTAAAGGACCCTAATCTGTCATAATTAAAGGGCCCTAATCTGTCATCATTAAAGGGCCCTAATCTGTCATCATTAAAGGGCCCTAATCTGTCATCATTAAAGGGCCCTAATCTGTCATCATTAAAGGGCCCTAATCCGTCATCATTAAAGGGCTCTAATCTGTCATCATTAAAGGGCCCTCATCTGTCATCATTAAAGGCCCTAATCTGTCATCATTAAAGGGCCCTAATCTGTCATTAAAGGGCCCTAATCTGTCCTCATTAAAGGGCCCTAACCTAATCTGTCATCATTAAAGGGCCCTAATCTGTCATTAAAGGGCCCTAATCTGTCAATAAAGGGCCCTAATCTGTCATTAAAGGGCCCTAATCTGTCATCATTAAAGGGCCCTAACCTAATCTGTCATCATTAAAGGGCCCTAATCTGTCATCATTATAGGGCCCTAACCTAATCTGTCATCATTAAAGGGCCCTAATCTGTCATCATAAACTGCTCTTTTCCAATACGTCTGAGATATTAGAATTTCTAAATTAGTTTCACAGCCCCTAAATCTTTTCATTTTGATGTCCCGCCCTCCACCGTTTCACGTAATATAAATATACAGATATGGCAGAACCGCGATGACATTAAATATAATCTTAACTGTGATTTCTTAATAGAAAATTTGAACCTGATGTGTTTTCTCTCTGCTCAGGACATGGAATCGAGCCCCCGGCCCCTTCCACCTGTTCCCCCACACCCCCCTCGACCCCGTCCTGCCATCGGAGGCCAAGTTCCTGGGCTCTGGCACCGGGTTCAGGCCCATCGGGGGCGGCACCGGGGGCTCGGGGAAGGAGTTCCAGGCGGCTCTGGGCGGGAACATGCCCCGGGAGCAGTTCACGGTGGTCATGTTGACGTACGAGCGAGAGGAGGTGCTCATGAACTCCCTGGAGAGGCTCAACGGGCTGCCCTACCTCAACAAGGTGGTGGTGGTCTGGAACTCCCCCAAGCCGCCCTCCGAAGACCTGCTGTGGCCCGACATCGGTCTGCCCATCGTGGTGAGTTTGAAGTTGGAGATATTTGAGAATGTGCATTAAAAAGATGCTGCACCAGGCCCGCTTGTTTCCACCTGGGGTCCTGACAATACCGTCCTATAACTTACATGATAACATACAGTTCAAATTAACAGTGCAAATAGTAAAGAATCTCAATACTTCACAGAATCAAATCACATTCTGTCTGTGTCACGATATGTAAAAAATTGCGATAATATTGAATTGTGACCCAAATATTGCAATACTTTCGAACCGTCACATTTTTGCCAAATCCCGGCCGTAGTAAAGTGTCAATAAAAAGTGAAAGAAAGGCGACGACAGAGTTCTTAAGACTTTTAATCACAGGTCAATGCAGTGATGGAGGAAAATATTATTCTGATCAGTATCGCGATATTTTGTGCGTGCAATTAAATCGATTCAGTAGAAGAAAGTAGAGCAATATTTAAAGAGATGATCTGATTCTTTTTTGTGTTTTCTGAGTTACTTTCCTCCTTTTCTGTAATGTCTGAATAACATGAGCGACAAGAATCTCAATATATCACAGAATTGAGAGGGAGGTGCAGAGGGAGGTGCAGAGAGGTGCAGAGAGGTGGAGGTGCAGAGAGAGGTGCAGAGGGAGGTGCAGAGAGAGGTGCAGGTACAGAGGGAGGTATAGGTGGAGGTGCAGAGAGAGGTGCAGAGGGAGGTGCAGTCCCACAGTCCTCACCGTCTCCTCTCGGTCTCCTCACCCTCACGGTCTCCTTGCGGTCTCCTCTCTGTCTCCTCGCGGTCTCCTCTCGGCAGGTGGTCCACACAGACAAGAACAGCCTGAACAACCGCTTCCTGCCCTGGGACGCCGTCGAGACCGAGGCCATTCTGTCCATCGACGACGACGCTCACCTGCGGCACGACGAGATCATGTTCGGCTTCAGGTCAGGAGCAAAATAACCTTCATTCTTCAGTTTTCAGAGGTGGAAACTTTACATGGGAATAATGGGAATTTAAAAGAATTATCAGCAATTCATGGGAATGATCTGGGAATTTTCAAAGCTGAAGGTTGCTCTTCATGGGGAACTTTAATATAGTGATATAGAAGGGTATAATTTAGAAAAAACTGTATATTTTAAGAATTTTAATTATGCCATTTAAACACATCAGTCATTCCTGAACACTCGGAACACGCCCCCTACTGGCCATTTCTTAAAACTGGACCACACTTCAGAGCCCAAAGACACACTTGAGACTGTGGACCTCACAATAGATTGATGATATTGTGGGGAAATATATGTATTAAATATTGAAATAGTAATGATCACATATAAACCTATTCATCTAGTAGATAACCAGCTGATAAGTTTGATGCTAAACTAGCTAGCAAGTTTAATGTGGGAAGTTTAGGAGGATATTTCCAAAGTTCCCCAGTTTACCTTGTATGAAAATGTACAGAACATTTTCCATCCTCCAACTGACCTGGTGAAAGGTACAGGCCCGTTATGTAAGGAACACCTTATTCAGCGGGTCTTCACACCGACAAGAACCTACATCTCTGACTCACATTTCCTACATTCTAACTGTGTGTAAATGCATTAGTAACCACTTCCATCGGCCTCCCGTCCGTGTGCGTGTCCAGGCCTGTGTGTGTGTGTCCAGGCCTGTGTGTGTGTGTGTGTGTGAGAGACTGTGTATATGTGTGTGTCTGTGTGCGTATGTGTGAGAGAGACTGTGTGTGAGACATTGTGTGTGTGTGTGTGTGTTTGAGACTGTGTGTGTGTTTGAGACTGTGTGCGCGCGTGTGTGTGTGAGACTGTGTGCGCGCGCGTGTGTGTGTGTGTGACAGTGTGTACCTGTCTGTGACAGTGTGTACCTGTCTGTGTGTGTGTGAGTGAGACTGCGTGTGTGTGTGAGACAGTGTACGTGTCTATGTGTGCGTGTGTGTGTGTGAGACAGTGTGTGTGTTGTGCGGTTGTCATGATTCTGTGAGGAATGTGAGGTCGTGCAGAGACCCAGTGCTCTCACATGAACTCATCCAGATCTGACAGCTGCTTTTACAGAGAGATACTTTACAGATACTTTACAGATACTTTACAGAGAGATACTTTACAGAGAGATACTTTACAGATACTTTACAGAGAGATACTTTACAGAGAGATACTTTACAGATACTTTACAGAGAGATACTTTACAGAGAGATACTTTACAGAGAGATACTTTACAGAGAGATACTTTACAGAGAGATACTTTACAGAGAGATAATTTAGAGAGATAATTTAGAGAGATAATTTAGAGAGATAATTTACAGAGAGATAATTTACAGAAAGACTTTACAAAGAGATACTTTACAGAGAGATACTACTTTACAGAGAGATACTACTTTACAGAGAGATACTACTTTACAGAGAGATACTACTTTACAGAGAGATACTACTTTACAGAGAGATACTACTTTACAGAGAGATACTACTTTACAGAGAGATACTACTTTACAGAGAGATACTACTTTACAGAGAGATGCTACTTTACAGAGAGATGCTACTTTACAGAGAGATGCTACTTTACAGAGAGATACTACTTTACAGAGAGATACTACTTTACAGAGAGATACTACTTTACAGAGAGATACTACTTTACAGAGAGATACTACTTTACAGAGAGATACTACTTTACAGAGAGATACTACTTTACAGAGAGATACTACTTTACAGAGAGATACTACTTTACAGAGATACTACTTTACAGAGAGATACTACTTTACAGAGAGATACTACTTTACAGAGAGATACTACTTTACAGAGAGATACTTTACAGAGAGATACTTTACAGAGAGATACTTTACAGAGAGATACTACTTTACAGAGAGATACTACTTTACAGAGAGATACTTTACAGAGAGATACTTTACAAAGAGATACTTTACAGAGAGATACTTTACAGAGAGATACTACTTTACAGAGATACTTTACAGGGATACTTTACAGAGAGATACTACTTTACAGAGAGATACTACTTTACAGAGAGATACTACTTTACAGAGAGATACTACTTTACAGAGAGATACTACTTTACAGAGAGATACTTTACAAAGAGATACTTTACAGAGAGATACTTTACAGAGAGATACTTTACAGAGAGATACTTTACAGAGAGATACTTTACAGAGAGATACTACTTTACAGAGAGATACTACTTTACAGAGAGATACTACTTTACAGAGAGATACTACTTTACAGAGAGATACTACTTTACAGAGAGATACTTTACAGAGATACTTTACAGAGAGATACTACTTTACAGAGAGATACTTCATTGATCCCATGAGAGATATTGGTATCCAGCAGCAAAAACAGTGGCGCTACCAAGGCATTTTTGAAGTAAGTTAATGAAAAATATGAAAATGCCTCAAACCCTACTCGAGTAAATGCCAAACTATAAAACTGTAAAACTATAACCTGTTAATGGTTTTGGGCGCTGATGGTTTTACAGAATGACTGGTGAGATTTCTCCATGATGTCGTAGAAACCGTATGTAGGTCATTTGCCGAGTTCCTATATTTAGCTTTTTCTCAGTCTTTTGTTGTGACTTATTTAACTGAGATTATTTTATAACTTCAAAGAGACGCTGCTGACATATTTATAGATATGTTTGTGCTTCTACCGTTGGCTTCAGTCAATATTTTTTATATCGATTTCTCCGGAGAGAGAGAGACCAGAGAGAGAGAGAGGGAGAGACCGGAGAGAGACCAGAGAGAGAGAGAGAGAGACCAGAGAGAGAGAGAGACCAGAGAGAGAGACCAGAGAGAGGGAGAGACCGGAGAGAGACCAGAGAGAGAGAGACCAGAGAGAGAGAGAGACCAGAGAGAGAGAGACCAGAGAGAGAGAGACCAGAGAGAGAGAGACCAGAGAGAGAGAGACCAGAGAGAGAGAGACCAGAGAGAGAGACCAGAGAGAGAGAGACCAGAGAGAGACCAGAGAGAGAGAGACCAGAGAGAGAGAGAGACCAGAGAGAGAGAGACCAGAGAGAGAGAGACCAGAGAGAGACCACAGAGAGAGACCACAGAGAGAGAGAGACCACAGAGAGAGAGAGACCCCACAGAGAGAGAGAGACCACAGAGAGAGACCACAGAGAGAGACCACAGAGAGAGACCACAGAGAGAGACCACAGAGAGAGACCACAGAGAGAGACCACAGAGAGAGACCACAGAGAGAGACCACAGAGAGAGACCACAGAGAGAGACCACAGAGAGAGACCACAGAGAGAGACCACAGAGAGAGACCACAGAGAGGGCCAGACCCGCCCGCCTCTACATTTGCTCCGGCCCCCTGAAAAATACCAGAGTAATGTAACTCAAAAAAATGATTTTCGGGTGTAGTAATATATATTAACTCAAAAGTAGTCGTTTTTACCTAACAATATCAACTTCCAGAGAGAACTAGTTAAAAACAGAAATATTTACACAGTATATTCAGGTAATGAATTAATTGAGTGGGAAGAGCACATCTTATTAGAGATTTGCTCGTACCATTTACATGATTTATTGTCATAGCACCAACACCTGAACAAATCAAGTAGTGTTGATTGAAAACAAAATGTTTTGGGCGAAGCAGTGACGCTACCCAGAATACATGGCAGAGAAAAACAAACTTCTGAAAAATTCTACATTTGAGCATTAATTTTTAGAGTGAATATGAAGCAAATCCTAAAACAAAACACGTGAGCAAAATTATGAATAAACTAATTTGACCAAATACATATTTTTAAACATTTTTTTTTACCAACCATAATCGACATGGCCAAGTCAAAGTAGGACTATACTTCCTGGGTCTTCTTAAACATTTCTCAAATATTAGACTTCAGGTCACTGCTCTGATAACCGAGCTGAACTTTGACCTGACACAACAGAAAGTTTATGTTCCATGGACTTTTGTTCTGTGAAGAACCCAGAGAGCGTTATTTGATTGTGCTTTCTGGAAAACGTTTTTTTTACGTTTAGGCACTCTTGCAATCATCACACTTTTTTTGTTACAAACTGACCCGGCCCCCATCGAAGAAGGGAAAAGTTATGTGGCCCTCACAGGAAAAAGTTTGGGGACCCCTGATGTAGATAGATAGATACTTTATTAATCCCCCGTAGGAGAAATGCAGGTGTCCAGCAGCAGAAACACATCCAGGTTTGTTGTACAGTCTGACAGCCGAAGGAACAAAGGATCTCTTCAAACGTTCCGTTCGGCAGCGTAGAGATAGGAACCTGTTGCTACGGTTACTCCTCTGAGCGGCCACAGTGTCATGCCATCCAGATAACATCATAGTTCCACGGCAAGAATTTACGGGAAAGATTTTAAGGCGGCACGGTGGCTGAGTGGATAGCACTCTCGCCTCTCAGCAAGAAGGTCCTGGGTTCGAATCCCGGTCGGACCAGGGCCTTTCTGAGTGGAGTTTGCATGTTCTCCCCGTGTCTGCGTAGGTTTCCTCCGGGTACTCCGGTTTCCCCTACCACTAAAAATATGTCCAATAGTTCTGGCATGCGCCTCCTGTACTGGCCCCGCTCCCATCTCTGTGTGGAGTGAGAGACAAATGCCCAAAAAAAATTAACAATTGTAAACCGCTTTGAGACTCAGATCTGCAGTGAAAAGGCGGTATATAAATAAAGATTACTTACTTACTTACTTACTTACTTTAAGTGTGATTATTATCAAAGTTGACCGATGTTCAGAAGCAGCAGTTCTGTGTTGAGAAAGTTGAGTTAATTCCCCCGAGGGAGAAGCCACTGCAGACAGAGTGATGTCACACAGAACATCTGCTCCTCTGGCAGCGCTCAGAAGAGACTAAACCATTATACTCTGACTACAGGGGGGAAAGAACCACAAGCCCCGTCCCAAAACAAAAACATGTTAAATTATACTGTTTACTGTGACACATGGTTGTAAACAAATTAAATGGTGAAAAACATATAGTAATGTTTGTTTGTTTGTGTTCTACATTTCAAATGCTCCAGAAGTGATAAGTTACTTTTGTAAATAATAATAATGTTCTGTAAAGTGTTAAAAATGTTTCTCGCGACGGAACCACTGAACTAAAGGCTTCTGTCTCACACAGTGGACTGCGACCTCTGTTCGGTCTCTCTCTAGCCGTGGTTTCTCTCTAGCCGCGGTCTCTCTCTCGCCACGATCTCTTTCTCTCTTGCTGTGGTCTCTCTCGCTGTGGTCTCTCTCTCTCTCGCCGCGGTCTCTTTCTCTTGCCGTGGTCTCTCTCTCTCTCTCTGCGTGGTGTCTCTCTCGCCGTGGTCTCTCTCCTGCCGCAGTCTCTCTTGTCTCGCCATGGTCTCTCTCTCGCCGCGGTCTCTCTCTCGCCACGGTCTCTCTCTCGCCGCGGTCTCTCTCTCGCCGCGGTCTCTCTCTCGCCGCGGTCTCTCTCTCGCCGCGGTCTCTCTCTCGCCGCGGCCTCTCTCTCGCCGCGGTTTCTCTCTCGCCGCGGTTTCTCTCTCGCCACGGTTTCTCTCCTCTTTCTCGCCGCAGTCTCTTTCTCTCGCCGTGGTCTCTCTCTCTCTCCCCGTGGTGTCTCTCTCTCTCGCCGTGGTCTCTCTCGCCACAATCTCTTTCTCTCTTGCTGTGGTCTCTCTCTCTCGCCGCGGTCTCTCTTTCTCTTGCCGTGGTCTCTCTCTCTCTCGGCGTGGTTTCTCTCTCTCTCGCCGTGGTCTCTCTCCTGCCGCAGTCTCTTGTCTCGCCATGGTCTCTCTCGCTGTAGTCTCTCTTTCGCCACGGTCTCTTTCTCTCTCTCGCCACGGTGTCTCTCTCGCCGCAGTCTCTCTCTCGCCACGGTCTCTTTCTCTCTCTCGCCACGGTCTCTTTCTCGCCGAGGTCTCTTTCTCTCGCCGTGGTGTCTCTCTCTCGCCGTGGTGTCTCTCTCTCCGCGGTCTCTCTCTCGCCACGGTCTCTTTCTCTCTCTCGCCGCGGTTTCTCTCTCGCCGCTGTTTCTCTCTCGCCGCGGTCTCTCTCTCGCCACGGTCTCTTTCTCGCCGAGGTCTCTTTCTCTCGCCGTGGTGTCTCTCTCTCGCCGTGGTGTCTCTCTCTCCGCGGTCTCTCTCTCGCCACGGTCTCTTTCTCTCTCTCGCCGCGGTTTCTCTCTCGCCGCGGTTTCTCTCTCGCCGCGGTCTCTCTCTCGCCGCGGTCTCTCTCTCGCCGCGGTCTCTCTCTCGCCACGGTCTCTCTCTCGCCACGGTTTCTCTCTCGCCACAGTCTCTCTCTCTCGCCGCGGTCTCTTTCTCTCGCCGTGGTGTCTCTCTCTCGCCGTGGTGTCTCTCTCTCACCGTGGTCTCTCTCCTGCCGCAGTCTCTCTTGTCTCGCCATGGTCTCTCTCGCTGTAGTCTCTCTCTCGCCACGGTTTCTCTCTCGCCACAGTCTCTCTCTCTCGCCGCGGTCTCTTTCTCGCCGCGGTCTCTTTCTCTCGCCGTGGTGTCTCTCTCTCGCCGTGGTCTCTCTCCTGTCGCAGTCTCTTTTGTCTCGCCATGGTCTCTCTCGCTGTAGTCTCTCTCTCGCCGCGGTCTCTCTCTCGCCACGGTCTCTTTCGCTCTCTCGCCGCGGTCTCTCTCTCGCCACGGTTTCTCTCTCGCCACAGTCTCTCTCGCGCCGCGGTCTCTCTCTCTCGCTGTGGTCTCTCTCTCTCTCACTATGGTCTCTCTCTCTTGCTGTGGTCTCTCTCTCTCACTGTGGTCTCTCTCTCTCTCTCTCGCTGTGGTCTCTCTCTCTCTCTCTCTCTCGCTGTGGTCTCTCTCTCTCTCTCTCTCTCTCTCGCTGTGGTCTCTCTCTCTCACTGTGGTGTCTCTCTCTCTCTCTCACTGTGGTGTCTCTCTCTCTCTCTTGCTGTGGTCTCTCTCTCTCTCTCTTGCTGTGGTCTCTCTCTCTCTCTCACTGTGGTCTCTCTCTCTCGCTGTGGTCTCTCTCTCTCTCACTGTGGTCTCTCTCTCTCGCTGTGGTCTCTCTTTCTCACTGTGGTCTCTCTCTCTCGCCGCGGCCTCTCTCTCGCAGTGGTCTCTCTCATCTCTTGTCTTGGCCTCTGTCTTGCGGTGTCTGTGCAGAATATTTGTTTTTAGTCACTCCCACATACCTTGCCCTGGTTTGGTCCATGGTTTGGTCCATGGTTTTGTCAATGGTTTTGTCAATGGTTTTGTCAATGGTTTTGTCAATGGTTTTGTCCATGGTTTAATTTGGCCCTTGGCTCTCGGTCTCATCGTGCTCCTCTGTGTGCGCAGGGTCTGGAGGGAGGCCAGGGACCGCATTGTGGGCTTCCCGGGTCGGTACCACGCCTGGGACCTCAACCATCAGTCCTGGCTCTACAACTCCAACTACTCCTGCGAGCTCTCCATGGTGCTGACCGGAGCCGCCTTCTTTCACAAGGTCAGCCACAACTCCATCACCGCAGCCCGAGAGAGGGACCAGAGAGAGGGACCAGAGAGAGGGACCAGAGAGAGGGACCAGAGAGAGGGACCAGAGAGAGGGACCAGAGAGAGGGACCAGAGAGAGGGACCAGAGAGAGGGACCAGAGTGAGAGGGGGGGACCAGAGTGGGAGAGGGGGACCAGAGTGGGAGAGGGGGACCAGAGTGGGAGAGGGGGGGACCAGAGTGGGAGAGGGGGGGACCAGAGTGGGAGAGGGGGGGACCAGAGTGGGAGAGGGGGGGACCAGAGTGGGAGAGGGGGGGACCAGAGGACTCTTTCGCACATGGCTGAATGTAGCATGTGTTTATGGTCCGCAGTACTATGCGTACCTGTACTTCTAACATGTGTTTATGGTCCGCAGTACTATGCGTACCTGTACTTCTAACATGTGTTTATGGTCCGCAGTACTATGCGTACCTGTACTTCTAACATGTGTTTATGGTCCGCAGTACTATGCGTACCTGTACTTCTAACATGTGTTTATGGTCCGCAGTACTATGCGTACCTGTACTTCTAACATGTGTTAATGGTCCGCAGTACTATGCGTACCTGTACTTCTAACATGTGTTTATGGTCCGCAGTACTATGCGTACCTGTACTTCTAACATGTGTTTAATGGTCCGCAGTACTATGCGTACCTGTACTTCTAACATGTGTTTATGGTCCGCAGTACTATGCGTACCTGTACTTCTAACATGTGTTAATGGTCCGCAGTACTATGCGTACCTGTACTTCTAACATGTGTTTATGGTCCGCAGTACTATGCGTACCTGTACTTCTAACATGTGTTTATGGTCCGCAGTACTATGCGTACCTGTACTTCTAACATGTGTTTATGGTCCGCAGTACTATGCGTACCTGTACTTCTAACATGTGTTTATGGTCCGCAGTACTATGCGTACCTGTACTTCTAACATGTGTTTATGGTCCGCAGTACTATGCGTACCTGTACTTCTAACATGTGTTTATGGTCCGCAGTACTATGCGTACCTGTACTTCTAACATGTGTTTATGGTCCGCAGTACTATGCGTACCTGTACTTCTAACATGTGTTTATGGTCCGCAGTACTATGCGTACCTGTACTTCTAACATGTGTTTATGGTCCGCAGTACTATGCGTACCTGTACTTCTAACATGTGTTTATGGTCCGCAGTACTATGCGTACCTGTACTTCTAACATGTGTTTATGGTCCGCAGTACTATGCGTACCTGTACTCGTACGTGATGCCTCAGGCCATCAGGGACATGGTGGACGAGTACATCAACTGTGAGGACATCGCCATGAACTTCCTGGTGTCGCACATCACACGCAAGCCGCCAATCAAGGTACTACTGCTACTGCTGATACTGCTACTACTACTGCTACTACTACTGCTACTGCTACTTCTACTACACAATAGATAATAGAATCGATTCACAATACTATTCTATCGCGATATGTTAAGAATCACAATAATATATTATAATAATATTTAATTGTGGCCCAAATATCACAAAATGATCAAATCAAGTAAATAATAAAGTGGAAGAAAATGGATGCTCAATATTTTGCAAATATTGGTAAAATTGTGGGGCTCTCACAATAGCTTACATATTGCTACTTTCTTGATCCTGTGCTCCCCCTCCTCTCCCCCCTCCCTCTGCCCAGGTGACCTCCCGCTGGACGTTCCGCTGCCCCGGCTGTCCCCAGGCTCTGTCCCACGATGACTCTCACTTCCACGAGCGTCACAAATGCATAAACTTCTTTGTGCGAGTGTACGGCTACATGCCTCTGCTCTACACCCAGTTCAGGGTCGACTCTGTGCTGTTCAAGACCCGCCTCCCGCACGACAAGACCAAGTGCTTCAAGTTCATCTGAGCCACACCCGGGACCCGGGGCTTGGAGAGACCTGAGGGACTTGGAGGGACCGGAGGGACTTGGAGAGACCGGAGGGACTTGGAGAGACCGGAGGGACTTGGAGAGACCGGAGGGACTTGGAGAGACCGGAGGGACTTGGAGAGACCGAAGGGACTCAAGAGTTTAGTTTCAGAATCATGTCAGGATCGATGGTTGCTGTGAGCGATGGTCCAGGGTTTGGAGAGTTCCAGGTCCAGGATTTTAGAAGCAGTGACATAAAAGCTAAGTCTGTTTCCACCAGCCCTACTCCACTCTACTCTACACTACTATACTCTATTTTAATCTACTCTACCCTACTATATTCTACTGGACTCTACAATGTTCTACTCTACTCTTCTCTACCCTATCCTACTCTGCTCTACTCAACTCTACTCTACGTTACCCTACCCCTAGTCTACCCTAGTCTTCTCTAACTGGTTGCGTTTCATTTAAGCTCTCATATCTACCCACAAACAAACAGTCTCCGGGGAAACTCCTTGGTAGCCATGGCTTCAGGCAGCACTCTGACCATTCTCTGGCAGTTATAACGTTTTCATTGCCTGGATAGAACCTGGGCCAAGCAGGTACTAAAAGACTAGAGCCGAGTAGAGTATAGTAGAGTAGAGCTGGTGGAAACAGGGCTTTGAATGTTATTGAGATTAAAAGCAAAATCTCAGCTGCATAAATATTCTGTTTGAAACTAAATATTCTAGTTTCAAACAGAACTTAACGCTACAAAAACATGCATCTTACTTTGTCCAGATGTGTGCGTCATAAGCTGTGGCCCTAAATGAAGAGGCTTCCCCTGTGCGCCCTCTGGTGGCCGCACCGTGTAATTACAATCATGCCATTTGACCACGTACAGCTCACGTCGGTATTACACTAATCGCCATGGTTACAATGTTCATGTAGGATGAATGTAGGGCTGCCAAACAGATCAAAATTGCAATTCCTGAGTAGCTTTAGCCTCATGCTAATTGCAGGAATGAGAAAACTAGTGAGAAGGTTTGTCTTATGTGTCATATAAAACTAGACTGTAACAAGTTGTAATTTATCTATTTTCATGTCTGACAAAGTGATGCTATGGTCTAGACCTGGAATTTTCCCCAAACACTTGTCTGAGCTCAAAAGGAACTCTTGTTGATGATTACGACAAATGTGGACCAGAGTCTGTCCTTCATACATCTGTACGGAGACGTCTGAAAAGTATTTTTGCCCGGAACATTTCACTTAGACTGGTACTAGCTCACTTTAGGCGTTGGTATCGTGTCTGAGCTCACATGGAACTGACCACAAACACCACTGAACCAATAGTTTTAAGCCTTTTCTGGTTGAAACTATTGGTATTAGGTTTCTTGTTTTTCTACTCTGGACAAATGTTAGACAGCGATGATAATTTTAAGCTAACTTTCATTTGTCTGGTATAGAAGAACCAAATACCTTATGCTTTTTCCAGGTTGGTTTAGTGGTTTAGGGTGAAAAATATCGCAAACGCAATTATATATTTTGTCCGAATCATGCCGTTAAATTCAGAGATACCGCATAATGTTAAAAAAAAGTCAGTTTTTGCTTTGTTCAATCGGAGGCAGCAGAAGCAGGTCACTGTGGAGCTCCTGCGTGGCCTCCATCTTGGATTCCAGACTCTGAACCTCTACAGACGTTGTACAGCAGAAGCACTGACGTCAAGTACTTTATTGAACTCTTGTACATATGTTTCTTTTTCTATTGTGTCGTAAAAACGTGTCCAAGAAGGAATTCACTTCAACGTCACCACAATGCCTCACGACTGACGCAGACGGCGGCCATTTTGTCCGCACCGGGGTCTCGAACAGGACTGGGATTCTAATGTTTTTTTTTAAAATCAATTCAATAGTTTTGCTGCACTGCACAAAGTGAATGCTCAGTGAAGCCCAATAGGAAAGTGCTCAAGGACGTAGTTTTTTCTCAGTTTGGCTCCTATATTTTGATATCAACTTTTAATTCCCCTTTGTAGCTTTTGAAACAGTCACGCTGCTAAAATATAAAACATTTCTGAAAATAACATACTATATATTAGGGTCACCATGTTATGAATAAAATATATAAGTCGTTAAACCCGGTGCATACATATTTAAGAATGGTTTTATTGGTCAAAATCCCGTAAAATTAAACAAAAATACAATTCAAATGCTCTCACTTTGTGCATGTATAAGCGATATATGTTGTGGAAAAAAACATTGGGAATCTACATATTGATAAAAAGCAGAGGTTGGAGGCCCCGGTGCTGTCGACCCGCAGAACCACGAGCTGCTGAACCCTACGGAAGGATCAGAACCAAGCATCGTGTGTAGAGCAGGTTCACGGCAGGAACTCAAAGCACAAAAAGAAAATGTGGATCATGTCTTTGTTTTGTTTTTTCTGCTTTGTGTCGACGCCATTTTGATGTTTTTTATTATTTGGAGAAACTTTGTGAATGTTTTATTTGCCAAACGGTACGACGTCGCACAGGACCCCACTGCGTCCTGTCTGTGTCCACGAAGCTTTAAGTCCCTTTAAAAAGATTCAAAAAGATTCTGGCTGTAATTTTTATTTCGGACACTATCCCTGTGTATTTATTAAATATATAATTAGGGTTTTTTTAATAAAATGTGGGTTGAAAATGCAATAACACAGTTGTGGTGGCAAAACAAGCTGTGCCAATTCATTAAACTTTAGCTTAAAGTCTAAAAACGTGCTGTGCTAATTTGTGACGAGGTAAAACACTGCACTTCTGGGTCCAGGTGGAACTATGCTAACCCGCTAGCTTAACGCAGCCCAACAGGGACTCCAACCGACAAACTCCAGCTTGCTTTAGCAACCGTCTTAGCAACAGTCTGCCCCGTTACGGCGAGAAGCTAGCGCCGCCAGAACAAATGCCCATATAAGGTAATTGGCTCCAGCTAGCTTATGTTCAAATTGGCTTCTTCAGTATTAAGGCTAACACTGAGGTGATGTCACACTTGGTTAGTCCGTCCTACTAAATGCTCTATCTGCGGAAGCTACTTGTAAACAAAGTCAAATCAATTGATTCCAGTTTCAAAATATATTCACTTCCCCAAGTCGTCTTCTGTCCTCGTTAGCTTAGCATACAATTCAATACAATATGGATGTACTTTTTTTACAAGGTTTGACTGGCTGTTTTTCTAGAAAGGTGCTAATGCTAATACATGTGTTAGCATTTAGGATATATATAGGGGTTAGTACATAATATAACATCAGATTATTCAGTTTTATTTGTGTTAATTTTGTGCTTTTGTTTTTCTACATTATGGAATTGCGGAGGTATTTTTCGAACATATCATTTGTATTCAATATGGTTTTTTCTTCTGGTCAAGCTAGGAATAAGTTCCGTAGCATTGGCCTTTGAGCCAGAAGGTCGTGGGTTCGAGCCCACCTCAAGACTTTCACCAACAACTCTCATTGTCTGCTGTCGTTGTGTCCTTGGCAAGACACTTAACCTCTGGGAACACCTGATGCGACACTTCACCCCCATTGCCTAGAATGAGGTGTGTGTGTGTGTGTGTGTGCGTGGTCGGAGGGGCCGATGGCACAGACTGGTTGCCTCACTTCTGTCAGTGTGCCCCAGGGCAGCTGTGGCTACAGTAGTAGTTTAACACCACCGTGTTTGGAGAGAAAGAATAATGACATATAAAGTGTCTTTGAGTGTCCAAAAAAGTGCTATATAAAACGAATGTATTATTATTATAAGCATCAAAATTTAGCTCGAGAAAAAAAAGGTATTTTTTATTCTCTGACAGGGAAATGTGTCCCTTGGAAAGCACAGGAAAAACTTTGCTACACAACTTTGCTAAATCTTATGCAACAATAGTGTTGCTTTGGTGTTGGTCAGTGGAGCCTCGACCAAAATAAAATAAAAATGCATTAATTATTCTATAGAAATGAGTAATATCAGGGTAAAATGTACCTGTTTCCATAGTGATGTGTGGAAGTTTTCTTGGTATTCAATGGAGTCACAGATTCCGCCACCTCTTTTGGGAGATGTGGGGCAGCAGAGATCGTGCGGCCGTTCAATGCCGCTTGCTGCTTTAATTTCCATTTAACGACTAATGTTTGCCTTGTCTCTCTATTGATTATGAACTTTAGCAAATTCACAAACTCTGACATGAACAGGCGTTGAATAAGAATGAAATTAGCTTGGAATATGGGTATGCTAATGCTATGCTAACGGCTGTTTTGTAATAGCCTAAGAGTAGGAGTTTTGCCTCTTGGTCCTTCTCTACTCTTTGGTATGGCCTGTTAACTATGCTAGGCTAATGGTAACAACCTAAAGAGGATAGAGACCTGTAGAAGTTATTATTAAACTGTAAACACAATAATGTAAGTTATATATTGCCTTTTAGCATTAGCTTTAGCTGGGACTGGTCAGTGCAGTGTTTAACCTGTTAGCTCCCGCGCACCTGAGCTCATACCGCCCCCTTGTGGTCCCTACCTTCTAACCCCCCTCGGATCTGCCCCGGGGGCCTCAGACTGACCTCATTCCAGGCTCCACACCGGCACAGCTGGTTTTTGACAAGTGTTTTGACAGGTTTTGTCCCACACTGAAAGCAAATAAATGTCGCTATGGGTTAAATATGTGTGTTTCTTGTCATTTCACTTTGAGTTAATTTCAGTTTACTCCACATTCTGGGTCTTTTTGTGTATTCTTCAATTATAAAATCCAGGAATTGGAAAACTTGGCTCGACCAGGGCAGACCTCTCCGTTGCACTCCCCCACGACAGGATCTTTGGAGTGTTGTGATGTCACATGAACGCAAACTTTTGGGCATCTTCACCAAAATAAAAGGCGGAAGTGTCTTGTTAAATCTTGGGTTTAAAATAGAACAGTTGCAGCCTGTGCAGACGCTGATGATTTATTCTGTAATGTCAGGTGCTCACCAGCAGAGGGCGCCAGACACCGGTTACAAGTTTAAATATATCTGTTTTAAAGTCTCACTTCTTACTTC